TTTTAAGTACTGCCTAAAAAAATGGTTAAAATTAAATAAGTTTTTAAAAATAAAAGAAAAAATAATTAAAAATAAAAGAAACAATGACTAAAGTTAAAAAAAAAAATTTAATTAAAAGTAAAAATAAAAGAAAAAAATATTAAAAATGAAAATAAAATTTAAGTGCTACATCAAAATTTATGACAAACTAAGTTTACATTCACGCACTGTGCGCCAACAAAGTTTACGGAAGAAACCACCGTGATCCTTATTCACATACGAGCATGTATGTACTCGTATGTTTGTCGTTGTAGTTGCATATTTTTGAGTGCACCAAGCGGTTCGTGACAGCTTTTGTTATTACTCACATGCAGTGCTGCTCAAAGATATTTGTAGTTTTTTTGTTAATATAGTTGTTGTAGTCCTTTTGACGTCTCCTATATATTGTTGGTGGCAAAGTTTTTTGTCTGTGTCACATAAATTGAGTGTCACACATGCGGACACGAAAGCATCTCCACTAAATGGTTGCTGTCAGTGCAACTTTAGCCTGATTTCTTAGTCTTCCGCGGCCGGCTGCGCCTTAGATCGTGCCATTTACCAACTCACTCACGGTTGTATAAAAATGCATTGCATTGAGTGCTGCCATATTTTTGGGTGATTTTTAAATGCAATATTTATGCAGGTGAGCAGCAGCAGGTTTTAGCATCTTTTCATTTCCTTGGTTTAATAGGCCCGCTTTTTGTTAGTCAAGTACAAACATTTGTCAGCGTTGGGTATTTTCGAAACATTAAGTTTGCATTTTTAGGGAGTTAAGAGTGCTTTACTCGATTTTGTTTTTGTGACGGCAGTTGCTGGAAATGACTTAATTTATGGCAGTTTCCTAAAGGTGCCTTAGAGCTCTGCTCGTACATATCTTACGCAAGACATGTTTGTAAAGTCGCAGTAGCTTAATCCAACTCAAAGATATTATTGTTTCCGTGTTGTTAAGAGAATTGCATTAGATATTGAAAAGGTCAGGACTGACCTGACCAAATCGGTATATATATGTTTTCTGTCGGAAAAAGGTGGAATGAATTATGAAATCCATCCAACCGCACGAAGCTCCAGATGACATCTAGATGTCATCTTCTCCGCTGAGTGGCTTACGACATCAGCTTGTGCGATGATTACATTCTTCATCTGCGAACCAAGCCAAAAGTAGTCCTCCTCCGGCCTATCAGCTTCATTTCATCCAAAAATCTTTGAGAGGCTGCTGACAGCTATACTATAAGCCAAAAATTACCATTGGAAAGCCTGTCAAGCAACGAGCATTTTTAATCAAGGGGCAAATTTGCCAATAAAGCGCCCTACGACTTGATTCGTTGTGTTGGGAAAGGACTTTCTTCTAGCAATGTCCACTCGGGGTTTGTCTCGTCATAGATGAAGTTTTTAACCAAAGTTTCAGTGAGTGTTCTTTAAAAATGTGGCCTGAAAATAATGGATTCCAACCTGAGCACAGGATAAATTTTGCATGAAAGAGCTCTATCCCCATTGTTGTGGTGTCTCACTGTAAACACAATACTCCGAAAACTGAGCAGCACTGGCTAAGGAACGGTAGCGTAGGCGAACTGTGTCGCTCTTACAGCGACGGTGACCTAAGCTAAAATTGAAGTTGTACTTTTCACCAGATGATACAAACCTCTCTTCTAAGTTTCAAGCTCAATGGGCTCTCAAAGCTGCCGTTGGTGCCTTAAAGGGTTAATTGTCCTTTTGTATATATACAACATTAGTCACCGTTTGATAGCCGGCACTGGATAAATCACTTCAGTGCCTTTCTTGTCTGCCACGAATGCACCAGGATCTCTTCTAAACTTTTTCCCACTGAATCCCTACGGCGAACTTTAAGCGAGCTGCAACACAGTTAGACTGAGGGCAGCTCAGCCTTGAACAGATCGCAGAGGCAGAGGACATAACTTCAGAGTTCTGTTTGGATACTCTCTTTTCCACAAGGATCGCTGGGAGAACGAATTAGAAAATTGAAAGGTTCTAAATCGGTGGGCGTGGTAGCCGAGTGGTTAGTATTTGCGTATTGCCATTCGGAAAACTCATGTTCTAGTACGACCAAAATCCAAAAGTTATATAAAATTAATTTAAATGAAAAATTAAGCTAAATTCTCCAATTGCGGTCGCCCATCGGAAGGGAATGTCAACCCCTCCGAGTGTATTTCTGATATGAAATTATGGGCTCCTTATAAAAAACCATCAGCCGTTCGGAGGTGGCTGCGTATAAACTGTAGGTCCATCCATTTGTTGGAAAAACATCAAGACGCAAAATTGAGGAGCTCGACCGAAAATCACTTGAGCGGTTACAAAGTGCCTCTCTAAACTTCATAGCAATGTCCCATTAGCTCGTTTGTGATGCTTGGTAGGCTGTGATCTGTTGTTAGGCCCGAAAATGCCCTGCTGGCCTCTTGAGACCGCGTTAACCAAAAAATGGGATTTTTTCCTTTGCAGCCATTAAGATGTTAAACGATTCCTTTTACCTCTTGGCTCCTCATTCAGCTCTCCAAGAAATTTTGTTCCGCAGATTCGGGTTTTCCGCATTTCATATACTGGTTTGCTTGGCAGCTGGATGGCCATTTTGACAAACTCTTCAATTATTTCGTTCCCGAAAATTTTCTTGTGTCCTGGATCCCAGTAGGTATGCAAATAGCGCAGTCCGATTTACAACTGAATATATTTTCTTTTATCTCAAAGCAAATTAAATTAGTTGCCAAATATTTTTTGACTCCGCAAACACACGTTGGTCCTGTAGCTATGATTCTAGGAAGATGTCCTTGGAGATCACGTGGTGATTGAAACGATATGGGCTCAACACAGAGCTCATTTAGATTTTGGGTTTTATTATGACTAAAGTACTAACTAAATGAGTTTTCCTTTTTACTTCTTGGAACAGTCCTCAAGCAGTGACTACTTCTGAAAACGATTTTCGAATAATTTGCAAATTGATTAAGTGAATTCATAATTGATTAATCAAATACTATTCATATTTAATCGATTTATCACTTATAGATTATTGAAAAAAAATTATTTCAAATTTCTGACAAATCAAAATTTTAGGCAAAAACTTAATTTTTCATTCGAAATTTTTATCAAAATTAAAATTAAGTAAGAAAACGAATTAAGTGCTGATTAACTTAATTGAGTTCAAGCGATTTTGATTTGTAAAATAATTTCCGTTTATTTTTCCTTCCACTGCCAGTTCGTCGATTTACTCACTTTTCTATCCTTCACTCTTTCAGCACAATCACATTTTGGTCTTACCAAATCTGGTTAAATTCACTGAAATTTGCGAGAGTCGTGATCAAATCAAATGGATTAAGGAGAAAGCTTTAAAATTGCAAGAGACAATACCAATGGATGACACAATTTCACATCAGGTAAGTGACAAAGGAAATGAAAAATTATATATATATATATATACTCATCAATATACCTATGCATACATACATATATACATATGATACGTAAAAGTGCTTAGAGCTTTCTTCCGCACAGCAAATACTGAGTGATTTTTGGAAAAGAGTACCGATTCGTTCACCCTGAAATTTGAAACTGGTTGCAAAAGAGTAGTTCACGAAGGCGTAGTTCACTGAAAGAGTAGTTCACATTAATCTTTTTTTTAACTACGGTTTCTTTGAGCTTTGACTTCTTCAATGACTTTTCCGATGTTTTAAATATTTAGTACAAGGCTTGCGGTTAACGAAATGGCCAACCTTACATTTGAAAAAAAAAACGAAATTTTTGAAAACTCACTTCTAAACGCAGTGAAGTAATTCGTCTTTTAGGCAGCAAGTCCGTCACACTGGCTCGTTGTCGGTCCAAACTATTGTTTCTATAGGTAAAAGGTAGGCTAAAACAAGGCATCAACATCAATTCGATACCGTTAACTGGACCTAGAAGTTTCACGCATTTCTTTGCGTAGGATTTTGTTTAAAGACCTCGGTGCGAAAGATTGTAGAAACCAATCGGTACAAGAGCTGATACCTCATCAACATCCGAATCGATTTTTCCCCACTAAATGATTCAAAAATGGCTTGGCAGAAAATAGGCATTTTTATGAAAATATCAGCAATAAGACTCGGCGGCTACGTTAAAAATCAAATCTGCCAAATGTGGTGCACATAAAACTGCAACGTAGCTATAGAAGAGCCAATGCATCATCAACGGGGAACAGTTTGATGTGACATATGGACTGTGGGCTTTATTCCTCTGTTCTTATTCGAAAATGAGGATGAAGCTGCCGTTACCGTCAATACCGATCATTTCCGTGCCACCCTCAGAGATTATTGGTTTCCAAAATAAATAAAAAAATTGCTTTTAAAAAATTCATATTCTTCTTTATTGGCGTTGGCATCGCTTACACGATGTTTAGCGTCAGTTCGAAATGCCAAGTGCAGCCAGGTCGCTCTCCAGCTGAACCCACCAACGGAGTGGAGGTCTTTCTCTTTCTCTGCTTCCACCAGCGGGTACTGCATGGAAAACTTTCAAAACTGGAGTGCTTTCATCCATTCGGACGACATGACCTGTCTCTTCATTCGCTGAACTGTGCCAATATCGACGTACAGCTCATCGTTCCATTGTCTGCGGTATTCGCCGTTACCAATGCACAAAGGACCATAAATCGTTCGCAAAACCCATTCACTTCGCTTCGTTATCAAGTCTGAAGAAATCAGAACTCACGGCGCGGGTGATAAGGCCAATAATATCGTTATCATCCGCGTACGCCAGCAGCTGTACACTCTTGTAGAAGATTGTACCTTCTCTATTCAGCTCTGCAGCTCCAGAAAAATATAAGAAAAGTCACACGGTAAAGAGTGATGTTGTCTGGAACTTCGTTTGGTATCGAACGGGTCGGAGAGATCGTTTCTGAGCCTGACGGTGGTTTTAATGCTGCTGTAGGTCAGTTTCAACAGCCGTAAAAGTTTTGCAGGTATACCATTTTCAGACATAGCGTCGTAGAGGCAGCTTCTTTTCGTGTTGTCGAAGGCGGCGTTAAAATCGACGAAGAGCTGATGTATCGATTCGATTTGGTGCACGATAAATATCTGGTCAATGATTGACTTACCAGGTCTAAAGCCATACTGATAAGGTCCAATCGTTTTGTCGACGGTGGGCTTTATTCTTTCTCACAATACGCTCGATGGGGCCTTATATGCTATATTACGGAGATTGAGTTGCTTAATCATGCTAAACTCTTAGGCCAAATCATTTAGGTTAAAAAATTAACTGGTGAATTTTTTGTTAATTTTGAACTAGTAGGGGACTAGTATAAGCATATCTGATGGAAATCTGAAAAAAACTAACCCGCAGAATAGCGATGTGCTAAAAAATACATGCATACTTGCTTCAAACCAGTTTCTGACTAGTTTTTAACTAATTCAATCTGCTGCCGCGTAAATATCAGCACTTGCATACATATGTACATACTGACATACTTATATTTCTATTTGTCATTATCACTTCCTGTTTTTTTTTTGTTTGCTTGTACGTTTTTCTAGTCAAGTTGTAATTTTTTATTTCGTTGTTGTTGGTTTTGTTGTGGCTATCTTTCCAGCCATGTTGCAACATGCAACTTACAAGACGGTACTTAACAATTGCAATGCAGCAAGACGTGTCCAATTTCATGTGCCACACATTAAGCAGCCACAACATGGGTATTTACATATATGTACATATAAGTACATATGTATGTATGTGTTTTTATTTGTATATATTTTGGCCTTTTTGTTTGTATTCGTGTGGGTGCGGGTGCAACGCTTGGCAGTTGAACCTAAACGAATTTGTTACGTTGATTCTTGCCTCCGCACTGACTGACGAAGCCAGTCATTTACGTCGACTTCCTTTTGGCTAACTCAAAGTAAGTTAACGCTGCTTTTTGCCTAAGAAACCTTTCGTAAGTATGTAGCCATGGCCATTGGGATTATTCTCACCTATTTCGAATTGGTATGTATGTATGCGTAGCCGCCGTCTGTCTGTCTATTTGTTATTCTGCAAGTTGTCTCTGGATCTCTTCATCATCCATCCGCCTGTCCGACTGTCTGTCTGCCCACCTACTTATGTGGCTATTTGTCCAGCTTGTCCAGCTTGCTCAAGTGTTTGTTGTAGATTTCACTAGATTTCGCCTTTAGCGCAGTCGTCCGCCTTGTTTTCTCAAATAATACCGTTACAGTTTGTGGCGCTTGCATTTGACGTGGTACACAAATCCACGTGCAACCGTTTAAATGAACGTGCATGTATGGCTGTACGTGTGTGTCGTATGTGTGCTTTCCGCATTACCTTCTTACTCATTTAAGCCGCACATTTACACTTTGCAGAGACGATGATTTTCATTTTATATTTTTTTTCTATTTATTTTTTTTTTTTTTTAACTTTTATTTCTCCATTTCACTTCATTCACGTCCGATCTGTTACATATATATCTATGCAATGGCATCTTTAGTTCTTTCACCAACGCTTATCCATTTTGATCCGTTTTCTTATATTCTTTTCTCCTCTTCTTTGCAGCACTTAATCTACTTACTGTGCAAAACGCAGGCAATGCTGATCCCCACACTCGGTGAGTTGCAACAATTGTGCCAGCTCATTGGCAATTATTTGAAGAGTTCGCACATCTTTATACGAAATGCAACACTGTCCGGTCTGCTGTGCCTGCTGGAGTGCTGCTCGAAGACCAATACCACCATTGGCAGGCTGAGTGATGAGTTGGCTTTGCTGCGCGAGCTGATTGTGGGCTACATCAATCGTCATGGGATTATCGATGTGAGGTGAGTCGCCTTGGGTAAGAGTGTGTTGCAATTGATGTAGGATTAACAGACAACTAGCCGTGTCTCTCTCTCTCTCTCTCTCTCTTTGAGTGTGTGTGTGTGTTCGCGAAGTTGGCATTATCTGTAAAGGTTTAAATACTTGTTATAGCTTTGGTTAAAACAACAATAAAAACGTCGAAAGAAAATCAGATTAGGGCTAATGAAGCTTAGTCTCAGCGTGGAATACCGTTAAAACTTTAAATGCAATATGTATGTATGTACGATGGTGGAGCAATGTAACTTATAATTGATTGATGAGCTCATTTGTCTGTTTGTTTTTATCGAAACTATACAAATTGTTGTTGGCCGATTAAAGGCGATTAAATAGTTTACATTTTTTGCTTCTTCTCCAGTTGACTAAAACCAATTAATGTTCATAACTAAAGTGATCTCTCATTAACATGAATCTCAGTTGGCGTTTAGTTCCATTACAAGCTAAACTGAAGATTAGCTCCATAAGAACTACTTAGTTTGCAGAATGACTACGTAAGATCGCGTTGAGTTCACATTTACGCCTGTAGCCCAAGAAAGCTTCTTAGCCTATGGAACTCGTAGACTCAGTCTTTATTCTGCAAAAAGATTACTCTTAAAGTTACTTTACGAGCAGCTTCGGTCCCTCTTTAGAACGCTGATCATATTTTATATATTTAAACTGGTCTAAATTCTGCTTACTCCTAATGACTTCTGGTCTAATTTTGAAAATATCGATCTTCAGTTTGTATTTTTGGTCGTAGGAACTACATATTCTAAAGCCCACTAAACAATTTCTCCAGTTTGAGTATTCACTGGTCTTCACTTTGCTTCACACGGGGATACACTTGGAAAGAATCGGAAGATCGAAGGATTATTTATAGTGTCTATTGTAGGAGTTTTGAAGCAGTTTGTACAGTGTACATGAAGAATGTTAGAACTCTATTATAGCATAGCACCACAGAAGACCATCGAGTAGAGATCTTTCAACTATTACTTTGCAGTTAATTTGATAACGCTCCTGAGATGTTAAATTCTCACCGACGTCAAGGAACCACCTTTTATTAGAATTCATCATACTCAGATTGGGTTTCCAAGTTTTAATGAAGAACTCACTTTTCTCAACTGCAAATGTGGAATTTAATTGAATGTTCCTAACATAAAATACTAAAAGAGCCGTCATAGATGCATACGAATCTCTTCGAAAAATCCATTCATCCCCTCAAAGTGTCTGTACCATGATTGCGTGTGCAGGAGGTGTGAAATTGTTTGAACAAATTCTCGAAGAATATTGATTTGAGGGAGTAGTAATTGAGATTTTTGGAACACACAAAATCATTGTTACTGGTTAAAGTTAATCCGGGAAGATAGTCGAAGTGAAAACTTCTGCACTTCCGATAGCCTACTAAGGCAGAACGCCTAGCCTTTTCTATATCCCAGTATATGCGCTGCTATTATGTAGCTTTAAAGCAGGCTGAGTAGTTAGTAGTGTGTACTACCATAAAGACGGTTCTGGATTCGAGTTTGGCATCAAAAAAAATTGTAGAAAATTAATTTAGTTTTTTTAATTGCGGTCGCCTTTCAACAAGGAATGTCAACATCTCCGAGTGCATTCGTAAAAATCGCGTCAGACGTTTGGAGGTCGCTTAGAAAAAACTGTAGGTCCATCCGTTTGTTGGACGTTTGGAGGACGCAGGATCGCAAATTAACAACAATAATAGCAAATAGCAAATATTGCCGCGTTTTTATGTTAGAGGGGATTAAACTCATTATGAACTTAACCTGTTCAGTGACTCATAGTCAAAATAAATACGAGGTTTCATTGTTAATGGACAATTACTCTCCGAGCGATCGTCACCAAATATAATATCGTACCGTTACAAAGTTTCTCAACGAGGAAGGAAAATCAGTTTCAATCATAATGCATGAGATGCCATTGGTTTACGGAGGATTTTTGTCCTGGATGTCCATGATTTACAAGTGGCACAGTTTGTCTAAACAAGCAAGGTGATCAATTCAAGACGACACGAGGTCGTGCACGAGCATTGGGGAGACAACGCCAGAACTTATCCTAAAAGTTCAAAGAATTTTCCTCTACGAGATTTTTTTTTAATGAAGAGACATATCGAAGGAATGGCTGAAGTATCCACTACAGCCATTTTAAAAATCCTTCACGATCATCTTGGCAAGGCTAAGGTCAACGCAATAGGCTCATCATTATAAACCCGAGTCAAAGTAAAACTCCATGCTGCGGCACAGCATCTCTCCAGGAGTTAAAGAATTCATAGTCAGCTGGGAAACTCATGGCACCGGCCCTTTGCAACCCGGCAGGAGTATAAAGGTGTTTCTTTAATTGGAGAGTAGTGAAGAACGAGCGACTAAAAGAAGCCATTGAAGAGAAAAGATAGGGAAAATTGAAGAAAGGAGTGTTGTTTATGCCTCAACACGTGCGCGTCCACGTCCACGCGTCAACGTGGGATTCGATAATTCGACTCACCCACGCTACACACCAGGTTTTGCCCCGAGAGATTATTACCTATTTCCAAAAATGGAAAAAAGTCGTAGGGTTAAAAAAATGTATATATAACAGATGATGAAGTCAAGAAAGCAGACGCGGCGTATTTCGACTTCAAATAAAGCAGAAAATATTTTTTCAAGGGGATTAACATAAATTAATGGAAAGATCTGAAAAATATATCCGCCTTGCAAGTGAAAAGAAGAGAAAAAGTACATTAAACTCTGATTCTGCGTAGGTGAAGCGACGTTTCGATTCCACGCTCCACTCTCTCCTCGCTCTCATCTCCCAAGTATTTTAGTAAACTTCAATAAGTGCTTAAGATTTTTATTTGCAATATAATATTGAAAAAATATTAATATTTATCTCCTAACTTTGGCATCCTTAAGTTCACTTGCTGATTGCGTCTCGCAGACATAACTTTGAATATTTTCATTTCATATTTTCCATAAATTATCAACAGTAAAGGTGGCAAGCAATAAAGCAATAAAAGAGATAAATAATAATAAAGTTTCCTTCAAGGACTCACAAGGCACTCACATAAAATAATATAAACCCACACACACACATACGACATTTGTGCATACCATTTGTTATATATTTGTTAGGGGATTAACAAAAGTTCGGAACGTTGACAAGAAAAAGCAAAACAAAAAATTCTTTTTGTATTTATTCGTAATCTTTGTCCTAATCTTCTCTACATAATCGTCTTTGAATTCTGTGCGTTTCTTAAGCCTATAGATCCACTTCTGAAAACAGTCTTCACAAGCTTTCTCCTCAGGCTTTTCAAGCTCAGCATTAACCGCATTAATTATCTCTTCGTTGCTATTAAAGACCTTTTTTTAATTTTTTTTTAATTTTTTTTGGAAATAACCAGAAATCACAGGGTTATTTATCCGGCGAATGTGGTGCTGGACGTATTTCTTCGATCCCAGAGATCGCAATAAAATTACTCGTTATCTCAGCAGTGCGGGATGGCGCGTTGTCGTGATGTAAAAGGTAGCGCCGCAAATCCACTTTCTTCCTGATTTCCAACACATTTTTTAAAACTTTTGGGAAGCACTCTTCGGTGTACCAGTTTGCAGTTACCGTCTGACCCTTTTCCAGTGGAATAGCAGCTCCGATTTTAGATCGGGTGAAGTATACTGAGATCATTGCTTTTGCTGCTGATTTTTGTTGCTTAGATTTTACGAGTGGGTTGGCTCCTACTGGCTCCATACCATAGACTGCTGTTTGATTTTTGAATCGTACTTCTAGAACCAGTAACGGCTTTAATAAAGTTGCTAGACTGACCATTTTCGAATTTTTTTTTGGAAAAATTGAGCAAAATTTATTCTAGCCTCTTTTTGGGCCTCATTTAACATACGTGGGACCCATCGAGCAGATTTTTTCGTATATCCCAGATGATTAGATGGCATTCAAGCCCAATTCATGGCAACCATTTCTTGTGTCAATCGTTGGTCTTCGTCAATTTTGGACTTTACCAGAACTACAGTGACGTCATCAGTGGAAGATTTTGATCGAACTTCTCGGGACCCGTCCTCTACGAAAAAATGCCCAGTCTGGAATCTTAAGAATAGTTTTTAAAGACGGTGCAATCGTTCCATATGGAATTCAGAATTCACTGAATATTTGTATTGGCTGTAAATTACGCCGAAACCCGAAGAGAATCGCATGGCGAATTTCTGTATGCCTTGATGGTGGAATTTCGTCTGACCTATGCTCAGCTGTCCTGGGTTTTCTCATCTCCATTTCAGCCGTTCATTCTAAATTTTGAAGGCAAGACTAATAAATTAATCCCAAAAGATTTGGTATTTTTTAGATTTAACAAAAACAAATTGAAAGTCTCCAACTGACCGCACTTTTGTGAATCCCCTCGTACGAGTGTGTGCAATGTGTGGCCCAACCACTATCGTCTGTCTGTCTACCTGTTCAATCAAGTATGTCAGCAATTATTATTGTTTTGTTGCGGTTAGTTATTGTTTTCTCAATCAAAAAGTTTTAACAACGAATCGACGTTTAACATACATACATAAATGTATGTACATATGTATATAGGTTTGTGTGCAACTGACTTGTCTTGTCAGCGTCTGGCGGTGTGTTTTTGTTTTTTTTTCGTTTGCACTCCTAGTCCCTGTGGCGCCACCTCCACAGCCCGGTTGCTTAGCAACATTCCAAGTTGCAAGCAGCTCTTTTGCGGTTTATGCAACATCCATTTCAAATTTTCCAATTGCCTGTAGTCAGTGGCGAGACGCAATGCAGCAACATCAACAAACATCAGCTGCAGTTGCAATGAAAGTAATAATAACAACAGCAGCAGTTGGAGAATGTACAAGTGGGAAAATGACCCCATAAAAGGAGGGGGAAATTCAATAAAAAAAAATAACAACAACAGTAAAAAGAAACAATTCTATTAAAAAGCACTATAAATTTGAGCAGTTTTTAGACTATGTCTATTTGTATAGTGTGTGTGTGTGTATGTGTGTGTGTGTGTGTCTTGTTGACTTTGTTTGTTTGCGCTTCACTTGAAAGCCTGCTGTTGCGGCTTATTGAAGTTTTTGTCAAGGACTTTGCCTGCCGCAACCACAATATCGATGACTGGCCGGCCAAGTGCTCAGGAAATATTGTTGCGGTTTTCGCTACAGGGTGTCGCGTGGAAAAAGTTACGAAATAAAATTAGGAATAATACAATGGACTGACAATAGGCGAGGGGTGTAATTACATTCGGAAGGGCAGTGTTAGATCTCTTGTTCGACCTGCACATTAAAATAAAGAAAATTAATTGCCGTCGCCCCTCGGCAGCGAATGTCGCCCATTTTAAGTGTATTTTAGACATGAAATAAAATCTCATAAAAAAACCATCAGCCGTTCGGAGGTGGCTAAGTATAAACTGTAGGTCCCTCCATTTTTTGGGAAAACTACAAGACGCAAAACCACAAATTGGAGGAGGTGCTGGGCCCAAACTCGCTCCAGCGGTTGCAAAGCTCCGTTGATATTACAATATTATTTACTTCTTTTGGAATAAGATTAGTGTTCTAAAGCAAGATGTGCTCTCTGCAGTTCTGTTTGGAGTAGGTGGTGGATGTTGCAACATGGTGGAGTTGCTTGGTTCACAAAATAAGTTCAACGAGGCAGAGAATGCGGCCTATTTTTTTACATGTTTTGGAAATGCCAATTGTGCACGGGATAATAGAATACCATCAACATGCCGTTCATTAACGACCAAGGCGGTCGAATGAACTGATTGAAGATGTCAGACAGTGGGTTGCCCACAACGCACAGGCGTCATATCGTCACGCTCAAAATTTTGCTTTCAGTAGCAGCTGTTTGCAGCGCATTTTTTAAATTAACACAAATAATATTGGCTATCGGCCGCCTGCGGCACTAATGATATGTTAAAAGAGTCGCTCATTCATTCATTCGCTCGCTGCCTTTTTGCGGGATCGTAGGGAAGTTCAGCCAGTAGATTTTCACCATATCCTTGTGCAATGAAGGTGATCGAACAACTAACTGACGGACAACCTACTCTACAGAAGACTTGTCAGAGGATAGACTAAATGTTAGATCCTCACTTTTTAGAAGGCTGGAGACACATTCAATGTTTGAATGGTGAATCGACGGAGCGCTATGGTTTACGGTTGCTGCTCTGCGTTGATTTACGTATGCTTACTTAATTCGACACTAGACCTCACGACTGGTTGTAAATATGGTATTTGTTGATCTTCAGGCAGCATTCAAAGCCCCATAAGAACTGGCTGGTACTGCTGTATCCCCTACCTCATAGATTATTCTTATGCTTTGCCTTATGAACTCCACATGTTGCGTGGGTAACGAGCATTGTTTCCCTTGGTTCTCTTCTTTTTTCACACCTGTGGCATCCTCATAATGGTGTTATTTGTTTATCTTGAGCTGGAGTACATCAGAGCGTATTAAGCAAGTCTGTGTATGGAGCTCCTGATATAATGTTCTCTAATTTCCGTGTCTGTCGTAAGAGTCGAACAAAAGCTAATAATTTTGAAGCTCAGAGGGTTTTTATCGTAGAACGACTCGTGTTTTATATGGGTAGGGACTGTCAATTCCGCTTTATTACACTACATCGAATTTGAGGATATTTTCCATAAACCACCTAGTCTTGTTATAGCCTTTAGGAGACCCTTCTCTTCGTAGCTTAACATAGCCTTTCCTTATATTTGAACAAAATTTTCATATGATGAAATAACGTCGCTATGCTTACGTGGCTCAAACGGAGCGTTGAAGATTATCCCACTTTCTTTTTTTTACCGATTTACGTGGTCCCCACCCTTATAACAAAAATAATAACAACTCAAATGACTTCTTATCCACGAAGCTTTCCTGAAGACCGAACCATTGCCTGCTTAATCCAAATAAACGGAAATCTAATTGAAAGTACAATGCGTCGTTTCGTTGTAGAATTACACAATTTCTGATGAAAGAGAGCAAACAAGTTCTTTGTTTATTGCTTGAACTGTCCAGTTTAAAGTGATGCGAAGCTTGTGTACTTTGTCGTATTCCAAAGTTTTCGCCGAAGTTAGTACCGTGCGAATATTGTTGGTTTTTCGTAAATAAATCGAAAAGGCGTCATTACCTAAAATCACACTTAGCACCCTATCACTGGATTGATAAAACAAAGTAATTCTTTTGTCCCGTGCGACAAGACGGAAATGCTTATATTTATGTCTTATGTTTATGTCGCCTCTATATGGAAGTATGTACTTCTAGCACTTCTGAATTTTAAACTGAACAATTTTAAATATAAAATTAAGGCAAATAAATACAATTTCTAATGACTACTAACATAAACATACATATATGTATATATATATGTATGCGTGTGCCCGTTTTCCTATTGTTTGCTCTATGTATCTATAACATAGATTTATTTATGTATGTACATACATACATATATACAAAGAGATGTGCATTTATTTGTGTGTATCGTGCTTATTTTCACCTACGAACTTTCAACATTTTGATATATTAAATGTGTATACCACTGTTGAGCAACTTTAGTCCCACTCTGGGCGCCAACTTGCTGACGAAAATCCATAATTATTTCAGGTGAAGTAGTAGCTTTTATTTCTACCAACAACAAATATTTGGTTTTTATATGTGTTTTGTGAAATTTCTAAAATATATTGACTATTGCGTATTTTCCCTGCTTTTGGGAGTGCATGTGTGCATACATGTACGTATGTGTGTGTGCAGTTTGTATGGCTGAGTGTGCATTCGCTCACTATTATTTGTATTTAGAAATATTTTTATTTGCTGAAGTGTATATTATTGCAAATAGAAATGCATTAATATTTGTTTTGAATTTGTTGGCTTATAGTTTTATGCTATATCACATCTCACACAGATGTACATACATATACATATATATGCATTTATCCGTGTTTATTATGGAAAAATAGCATCCATTGAGATTAAGATTTGTGATCAATAAATTGATTTGCATTGCAAGTGAGTTGTTTTGTGGTTTAAGCGATAAATCTTTTCATTCATATGTATATGTACTCGTATGTGTGTATGTCAACAAGTAGTTTTTGGCTATAAAGGTATGCTCAATTTGTTGGTAGTGAAGCAGAAATTTTTAGATGTGTAAATGAAATATTTTCTAGAAAATAGTAAATTTTTTTTGATATCTTTCGTGGCCACCAAACACTTTTTGGTTTAGATATTTTTGTTTTTTTTTTTTTGAGTGGTATTTCGATAATATTTTGTATATACATATTTTTGGCTCAAAATAAATTGTATATACTATAAAAAGTCTCATAAAAATAAAAATTTAATATTATTTTTAGATAAAGAATTTTCTTAGAAGTTGTTTATTCGAAATCGAAATATTTTTTAATTATATTTATTTATTATTTATTTAAATTATTATTATTTTTTTAATTATTTATTTAATGTAATTTTATTTATTTAATTTAACTAGATTTAAGTTTATTTGAAGTTAAGTTTAATTTATTTAAATTTATTTCAATTTATTTAATCTATTTTATTTTATTTATCATATTTTTATTTCATTTTGTTTCACTTTAATTAATCTATTTTATTTTATTTAAAATAAGAAACTAAATTTTATTTCATTTTATTTATTTATATTTAATTTGATTTTTAATTTTTTTATTTTTTTTTTTTTACTTTATGTTATTTTACTTTACTTTAATGATTTATTTATTTGTTTTTTACTTAATTTTATTTTTTTCACCTTAATATTATTTTATTTGGATTATTTTTTAATCATTTTATTTAATATTTTTTAAATTTTAGTTTAATTTTTTTTATTTGGTTTATTTTCTTTAATTCTTTTTATTTTAACGCAAAATTAAAATTATCCAATTTATGAGAAAAATATGCACTGTTCTCCTCGCTTCCTTTTTCTTGTTTTCAAGGTAATCCCATTAAGGCTTTCGCCTTGAAGTTCTTGTCCATATTGAACAAAAAAGAAGAGAATCGTATTTACCGGCTTCTTTTGAGGCAAATTCTTGAGCAGCAGCCTAATCATGAAAAGATGATATTCACTTGGTGTGTGGTCCGGGCTATAAGGTAGATGCATAAAAGCTCCCAACCAAGCTCTCGCTGCTTTTAGCGAGTCACTATCGGTGTGTAGGCTGGCCTATTCCTGATAGAACCCAATTCCCATCCTTTTGGCCAACGCCTTCAGACGGATCAATTTGCTGACAGCACACATCGGAAGTAAAGTTTGGCCATAGCGGAGCAGCCCAAAGCTTTACTGGTTGTCAATCCTGGCTTGGTCTCTGTTTGTGTCGGCTTACTGTCCTTCGACCACATCTATTTCGATTTGACGTTGCTGCAGGCGACCCACTCTTCATTGCAAGTCAACATCCATTTCAGAAGTGTGCCGGTTTTGTTACGGTTCAGGCTTCTCTCATTAACCTTTTCTCGAGTTTCTGTGCCCAGCTTTTTCAGTGGCTCCAAACTGTGCATGATTGACCATTACAGTATCAGGACTATAAACATTATTCACGTTTCCTGCTGCCTGACTAGCGTTTTCGCTTTTATCGAAGAAAATTTATAGAACATGTCGTATTTTCTTTGCTGGTGTCCATTTTTGACATGCGCTCAAACTCTACTCAGTTGAGTGATGAACATTTCTTTTGTTATTTTATATAAATTTAAAAAATTATTTACAAGTAAAATTTTTCTTGAGTGTGACGAAACTAAGAGAAATCAAATATTCTATCCAAGACACGCACTTAGCATTAATGCCGTCGCATATATATATTATATATATACATATACTATTCAATCTTTGCCTTTCATTTTAGTTTTCTTATTTTATGAAGTCATAAAATTTGAAATAAAAATAAGTATCTATATTTATATTATATTTATACCATGCAAATAGAAATTTCAAAATGTTTTCATTATTTTTATTGTACATTCTCTTTCCTTTCAACAGCATCATGCAATGCAGTGATATACATACGAAACTGGTTTGGACTCTCAATTATTGTCTCATCGAATGGACATCGAAATTTGTGCCACAATGTCACCTGCTGTCGAATACAGTAATTGCGGCTGGTAATTTCCTCAGGAAGACCAATAATGAGGATGTCTATTTGTGTGTTTTGCATGTAAGTATTCAATTGTATTTGCATATATTTTTTCGTTTGTATGTCCTCATTTTGATTAGTATTCAGCTTTAAACAAAACCTGTGTGGAAATATCTTACAGGTTATAGTGGATTTAAAGAGGTTTAAGACAGTGTTGATAATGATTTTTTTAACGATATTTGTGGAATGCATATGATTATATTTCTAAAATTTTAAATTAGATATACAATTTGGACAAGTAATTTATTTATTTCACCTTTTCTCATATTTAAATAGATTTTTATTTTTTTTTATTTTCGTTCTTGTCATGCCAATTAACACTTTTGAAAAACAATTCATGCTCTCTGAAACCAGTTTTCTTTTTGGTAAAATTCAAAACGATATAGTACAAAGAGCTTTCGCGTATTCTGATTATCCTTTCATTATATTTTCCCAGCAGGGGAGGTAATGACCAATGACTAGTATGTAAAGCACAATGTATTGCATATTAGTATGCAGATATTTCCTATACAATTTTATACATACCCCACATACATGTATGTATGTATGCATTTGAGTGTATGTGCATATATATATGTGCATGTCCTTTATAGATATATATTCAGGGATAACAAATCGTAGATATCATAGCAACTACTCTACAACTAATAGACTCGCCGGTGGGAGACAGAAATACTCAATTGGAATTTCAAACTCATTTATATAAATGCACATGTAATTAGACATACGAGTACGCGCTCATGGATACATATATACATTGCATTTACACACATATGTACATATATTGATATTAACACATATTCATATCTGTTTCACCGTTAGAATGTTAAATGTTCTATACTGCAGCCACAATTTATTTATTTGTTTTTATAGTTATGTGCATACGTATGTGTATGTGTCTATGTAGTATGTGCGTTAACATACGGAAATCCAATTTCGACCACAAACTTTTAAAATCCAGCTATGCTTTATAATTACCACAAGCGGAATAGCAAAGATCTGACGTTGTACACAAATAAATGGAGGAAAGTAATAAAGGAATAAGGATATAAATGTATAGAATATACATGTAAAATTGAAATGAGAGAAATTTGCAATTGCAATTTAAGAATTTTGATATTGAGAAAAATAGTGTATGTGTGCGTGCAAAAAATAAATGTTGCTCTTATTGCTGTTGTTTGTCTGTGCATATCAATTTATGAAATTACATTTCGGTTCAATTTCCCTTAAAATAATCCAATAAAAGACAATGGAATGAAAATAGGCGAAAAATTAATGAAAGCAATAAAATGAGATGAATAAGGAATTTTAAGGTATTTGGGTTATCAAATAAAAATGCTCAATAAAATGATATATATGTAAATATATGTATTTGCATATGAAAAAAACATTCAAATTCCAAAGTGAGGAAAATAACAAGAATAAAATAAAATAAAATAAAATAAAATAAAATAAAATAAAATAAAATAAAATAAAATAAAATAAAATAAAATAAAATAAAATAAAATAAAATAAAATAAAATAAAATAAAATAAAATAAAATAAAATAAAGTAAAGTAAAGTAAAGTAAAATGAAATAAAAATAAATAGGAAAAGAAATGAAATGATGAGAAAAGAAAGGAGTGAAATGAAAGCAAATGATAAGAATAAAAAAGATAAGATAAACAAGGAAAAATATAAAAGAAGATGAAATAAAGGAAAAAAGTAAAAGTAATAATGTGCTGAAATGCAATTAATATTAATTAAATTTAGAAAAATAAATTCAAAACAAAACAAATTTTATGGTGAAATCAAATCGTGTTTATAATTTTCAATTGCTTTTCAAATTAATTATTTGGACATTTGACGTCAATATATGTCCCTTTCTTATTGCTGGAAACATGAATTAAAACATTTGTGGCGTATTTTTTCAATGCTTGCATTCATTTAAATTAGAAATAAGTGCCTCTGGCTGATAGATAAAGTAATTATTTATTTACGATTGACGATGAAAAATTTTCTCTTTCATACATATGTGGTGTATATTTTTTAAGGATATTTGCTGTTTAATTTTTATTTAAATCTTCACATTTTATTAGGAGTATTTTTTCTTTAACAAACAAAAAACACATTAAGCGCATCTCTGAATAATTTATCAAAGTATATACATATGTATGCCGGATACACCAGTCAGTTTAAAGTTTATTTCTTAACAGCGTTTTAGCTTAAAGCTTTTAATTTTGAAGCTGTGAAATCCTTAAATGTCCTTTATTAATATGTGTATGTGTGTATGAGATATATATTTTAATTGATCAACTTGTAATTCCCATTTAATATTGTCCTAGCGAGTCAATAAACTCTTCCTTCATAAACATCACTTTATTCAAATACATTATTTTGTGTGTGTGTGTGCATGTGTATTATGTTTATGTAAGGCTTGTAAAGCTATTCCTTTCACGTACACCTACATTCATATATAAAATACCATAAATGGAGGTGAACACGCCAAAGTGAGTCCTTTTTCGTGTATCATCAACAGTAACAACAACAGTTAAATCACTACGTTACGCTGACAGCCAACAGTGAAGGCTAACAAAATAAGAAGCACACACACAAACTATAAATGTTTCTGCATGTACAAGGTCTCGGCATGTCCACACAGTATGTATTCCATGAGTTGACTGTGCTTTTTATTATTATCACAACTACTAGTTATTCACACTACTGCCACGCCACCAATTCAACCCAACTCCGCGCAACAGATGCTTGTTGTTAGGAAGCAACTTTATGAGTTCGATGGTGTTCATAAACTCACTCTTATGCATACCTCTGGATGTATGTAAATATGTATGTAATTCTTATATGTGTGCAGTTTTAAGTGGTCTTACATTTCATTCTAGTGGATGCCGTGAGATGAGAATGCTGGTGGCGGTGGCGAATGTCACTTTTGACGCTTCTGAGAATACTCGATTTAATGCCAGCACTTTTTATAGCCTATACTTCAGCCATATATATATACTACTGTTGACCTAATGATATGTAGTTATAATTATTTAATTTAAATGCGTTAAATAAATATTTTTTTTTTATAATTTGTGCTCTTAATTGACTGCACTGTATTGAATTTCATTTTTTTTTTTAAATTTGTTTGCTCTTTCTTTTTTTCTTATTTTTTTATTTTTATTTTATTTTACTTTATTTCATTGAATTTAATTTTTAAACAGATTTTATTTTCTCTTATATTTTTATTGTATTTTTTCCATTTTGTTTCTATATAATTTAATGTTTATTTACATTAGTTTATTTTATTTTTTATTATTTTATTTTACTTTNTTTTATTTTATTTTATTTTATTTTACTTTTTCTATAAGTTTGTTTTATTTTATATGATTTTATTTATTTTATTTTTTTATTTCCTTCTATTTTATATAATCTTATTTTTTTAATTAGTTTTTTTGATTTGATTTAATTTTTTTAATTAAATTTAATTTTATTAGTTGATTTTATATTATGTTATTTTATTTTTTAATTTTATATTTTGAATTATTTATTTTTTAGATGTTATATCATTTTAATTTTATATTTATTTTTTATCTCGTTTACTAATTTTTAAGTTATAAATATATTTTTATTTCTTTTTTTTTCATATTATTTTTTTGTTCCTTTCTATAAGTTTGACCAATTTTTATTATTTTATAAACTGCGGACAAATATTTTAAAATTTGATTTATGATTTTTTCCATTGCGTATAAGCCATTTATTTTTGCTCTTTACTGTATATTTATATATATACGTATGTGTGGGTTTTGGTTTCAAGCATTGCGATCCCATTTTTTCAATCTTATTCCTCTAGACATCTGCTTGGACAGCTCTTTCATTTCTATTTACCTTCCCTTGTGTGACATTGCTATTCAGCAGCAGAGTGCCACGACTGCTCTGCTCCAAAGTCACTACGTAATTCTGTGATGTCAAATAGCATTATTCGTCTCAGCTTTTTCCTCTATCTGTTTTGCTTTTTATCCATCGCTCGCGGCAGCAGTAGTAGCAGTAGCAACTGTCTGACTTACCATCGATATCTCCATATTCTCCGTTTAGTGTTTTGCTGATTTGCCGCAGGACATCGTTAGAACTGCTGCACAGTGGCGGGCAAAACGAGCTTTCTGTGAGTGTGTGACCGCTGCGGTCGTCGTTGGTGGTCACTGGCCTAGTGATATTATTTTTTCATATTGTTGTTGTTGTTATTGCTACTTGTTAATTGGTTTTTTGATTGGCAATTTTCAAAACTAACAACAACCAGTTGTACGCACACACACTTCCAAATACAAACGTGCATTCACCCTTTGCACAGATTTATATATATATGTGTGTGTGGGTGCATATAAAGCATTTATAACAGCGAGAGTGAAAGCAGAAAAACAGAGCAAAACGTAAAAAAAAACAGAAAACAAAAAACAGAAACAACAACCCTGTGGCTTTCAAGCTTTGTTGCCCCATACCGGCTGGTTGACCGTTGTTGACCGGAATCAATGCGTTGCGTTTACGCTTGAATTGTGCCATGACATTGGTGACCACACGCACACACTACACACACACTTACACATTCAACAGCTGTGCCTTACACCTTCCTAAACGAGCGGCTTCGCATGGCTGAGCAGGCGGCCAAAACTCGGTGTGACTCTAGCGTTTGCCCACAACCGCTGACTCTTTTATTTTTACTTATGGTGTGTTTGTGCCTGTTTTCTTTTTTTTTGTTTTTGTTAGTTTAGTAAATAGTTGAATAACACTTTCGGTCCCATGAATATGGCTAATGGTGAACGTCGGCTTAATTGTGTGGATTATGGCTGACTGGATGGCTGGCTGCCCGTTTGTTTGTTTCGTTGGGCGACAATTAAAGTAAAAATGTGCAGAAAGAAGCAACAACAACAGCAACAGCAACATCTATTCTGCGTGACTGAGTACACGAACAGCATAAATTGCAGCAATTAGTTGTAAACATTTGAGCAATCGAGTAAACAGTCGGCACTAAAGTAGTTAACCAGGAATAAGTGGTTGTAAAAGTTTATGGAAATTGCTTTATTTTCAAATGCATTAGAAAATATTTTACATATCTGGATATGAGGGAGGTCCATATTTAACGCGAAGGAGATGAACATGGAATGGTGTTTTAACTTTGGTCTGAAGTTTGTAAGTAGCAGAAGAAGACGTGATGAGCCCACCAGATCAAATACCGATTGATTGTGTGTCTGTCCATCTTACTGTTTGAGCGCAAACTAGTCGCTCAGTTTTTGTTATATTTACTCGAAACTTGGTAAACAGATATATTTTTCCACTGGATTAGTTATTGGCGGCCGCAGCAGCCGACCGGTTATAATCGATTCAGCGGTTACAAAGCACCAATTATATAGTAATTTGCCGGAGCCGGCTCCCATGCTACGATTTGTTTAAAATTAATTTTTAATCCAAAAATTAAATATCATAAATTTGGTATGAACAAGAGAGGTATAGAGACTTTGGTATGGCCGGAGACAGCTAACCCTTCGTATTTAAGAATTTGTAGATTGTAACGGCATAAAATAAGCGGGATAGATATGGACACTTACCGTATATGCTTGTATGTTAAACTTTTTGGAATGTCGAAACGACCAGGTTTACCCATGCCCGTCAATCCGGGTACTCGATTCTTCAAGTATGAATTTTTATAACTACTAAAATCGCATAAGTTCCGGTCCGGTTCGGCGCTTTAATTCAGAGCTTGCCCTTTCCTGCTGGCTGATGTCCGCGTTAGGACATAACCGCCGTCCAAAAAGTGCGATGGATGGGACAAGGATGAAAAATTTGGATCCTTGTGGTCTTATAAAGGGGCACAAACTTGATATCTGCTGCGAAAATATTCCGTTGTCGAGTCCTAGCGAATGAATGTCCCGTCACGATTCGTATCAAACTAGAACTCTTTAACTTTTCGCTGATTTGCTCACAAGCTCCGAGAAAATAGAACGAAAACGATGTGACCAAAGTTTCTCTTCATAAGCGCCTTGAACGCACCTATGGGCGATGGACGCGCCGCGATTCAACAATGTCGAAATGAAAGAAATTGTGGAATGTCAAACTGTAGTGGGGAGAGAACAGACTGCCTACCACGCAGCGTTGCGGACGACCACAATATGTGCAGGGTGAGATAGATATCGATAATTGAAGAGAGAACCCAGAAGCATTTGCAGGCAAAAAGAAGAAAGGGGACCAGATGTTTGAGTATGAAGGGCTTGAAAAGCTGGCCGACAGGGTGATATTCGAAAATTTAATGAAACGATGCAGCGGAGCTTACAGAATGTTTCAATAAGTCATTTGATTACCAATGAACCCGGAAATTGTGAGCCCGAATCTCCAGTTACTGATGATGGCAAAGCTCTCTTCATTCTCGCCCTGCTGTATGGTGCAGAATCGCGGCGATGTCCATGTCCAACGAGTCGGCTTTGGGAGTCTTCGAGTGAGAAGTTTTGCAAACGTTTGGCTCAATGGCAATGGCGAATAAAGCACACGATGAAACGATGAATGTCGTCCGAAGGAATGAAAGAACTCCAACTGTGTTAGTAATCAGAACAGTGCCCACAGATGGAAGGGAGAGAGGAAGAGAAAGACCTCTGCGTATAAAGCACAGCAAAGGTCGGTTGTTTTAGGAGGCATAATTCGATCATTTTTTTTATTAATGCACCCTTTCAACTAAAAGTGAACTTCTTTGCTGAACAAGGTTTACTTGTGAAAATCGGGGTAGGTGGCCATCTCGTTTTGGTTCCATTCGATCGATGGAAGGCCATCTTTCAGGAGTTGGATTTTGTAAGCCTGTAAACCAAGGTCATCCATAAAGTGGCGGATGAACTAATTCGGGGTTTCTTTGATATTCGGCTTCGCAGCACAACGTGAAGTAAATGCGATATAAAACCGATTCATGGTTGCTCAAATTAGTGGCTCTGCGGGCCCTTCAACGGTTGCGTCGGCCGAACAGAACTATTATTTTAGTAAAAAATACAAATTGCAAAAATTCAGTGCAAGTCGGTGCATTATGAAATGGCAAACCAAACTGAGAATAAACTACGCAAAGTTATTGAAAAGCACCGTTTAAAAAAATACACCCTTTAATAATAAATTAAATGATTTCAAAATTATTCAGGACGTGAAGGGAGGACTTTTCTTACATTCTCTATCCAGCTCATAGGAGAGCATATTCAGAAATTTTAAAGAGTTTATTATTCGCGTTAAAATCCTTTGTAGTCTCTTACAGATGTACCCATTAAATATTGTAGAAAATCCATTATTTGCATCTTAGTATTAGAAGAATAAAAATTTATTACATTTTATACCAGAAGAAACTTCATTCAATATTTTTCAAATTTTTATTTTCTCTAAACAATAAATGTCAACCGCATCTCTTTCTCTCTAAATTTCTATTTTTAATTCCAGGGACTCGAACGCATGGTGGTGATTAGCAATGCAGGAGGCAATGGGGGCAATCACACGCACACAACCGGAACAAGCATCGCTTCACCTGGCGTTGGCATAGTAACGCCATTATTACGAAATAAAATCGAAAAATTAGCTTTGGAATTGGTGAAATTGGAGAATGAAAGATTCTCAATACCGGCGCTCCAACTGCTGCTCTCCTGTATGTATATGGGTAAGTGTATGTGATACATGTATTTACCCTACAAGGAAATAATCTTGTTTTTAACTAGAACGCAATTAGTTGCGATTTCCACAACAATTCTATCGTCCACTTATTTTCTATTTAAGCAACTAGTACGACAACTAGTGCACGGCGATGACATGCTAACTGTCGATTGTCAGCTTCATACAGCATCAGCTTCATACTAGTTAGTTACCAGTTCATCTATACCAATTAAAATATTGATTCGCTGACACCAGTTGGTAACTAGTTTGCCTCTGATCCATTTGCATTGTACTAGTCAAAAACCAGTTGGATTGATTTTGGTGTGCCGGTAGGTTTGAGAATGGTTTGCCTCTCAGGGAAAGCTGATTGGGGACCAACTTATTTGAAAAAAAACGCGAACCATAAGCATTACTTGAATTTTGGTACATTATTTCTTTCCAAAAGTTTAATTGGTGCTGTTCAAAATTTTTTAGAATAAAAAAAAAAAATAAATAAATAAAAACCCAATAATTTTTGGTTGTTGTTGTAGCGGCTTCTAGGTACTTATGAGTTCTGACTTTTTTTTTTATTGCAAAACGACAAACTGATATGAATTTGTCCGCAAAATACCAGTCCACATACTAGTACATGGCAAACTAGTAGAGTTTTGTCATTTAACTACTAATATAATACCAGTTTCAAATAAACTAGTCTGATATCGTCTTCAAAATACTAGTATTTAACTGGAGTTTTTGCGTACTAGTCCACCTACTCCCTGCTGGGTACATGCGAGTATACATAGGTGTGTGTGTGTGCGAGTGAAATTTGCCAATGTCTATTATAATGTAGAAATTTAAATCGAAATTTACGCAATATTTGTATATGCACACACATATACACATACATATGTATATGTATTTATTATATACACATATTTAAAAAAATTTTTTTCAGGCTAAAAATAAATTTTAATTAAATTGAAAGTCGAAAATGGCACACAAAAATTAAATTCATTTTAAATAGAGCAACTGGATTGTTATATACCTTTGTATATATCGGTGCGTATGTGTGTGTGCTTTACTGCTAATGCAAATTTTGTAATTTTATGCAAATTCCATGGACGTACGCATAATATAATATATCGTATGTATGAATGCGTGTATGTATGTACACTCTGCTACAGCTTTCATATCTGACTAAAAGTGAAATTTCAACAGAAAATGGCACAGAATTTTCCTGTTTCCACATAAATTCCTAAAAGTAATTACCAAATGAAATATATTAAGTCATTAAAATAAAATGAAAATCGTCGAGTCTTAGCTTCATGCGAACACTGTTCTGATTGCCCAGGAGCTAAACATTACACGAAAAAAGATTTGAAGCCACTTGAAAAAGGCTGGATGCACAAAGAGGCTCGATGTATGGATGCCACATGAGCTGGCGAGAAAAAGCCTATTGGACTGAACTTCCATGTGCGAATCGCTACCCAATCGTAGCGACATCGACCATTTTTGAATCGGATGGTAACTGGTGATGAAAACTGGATTACTTACATCAACGTTAAGCGGAAACGGTCGTGATCGACAGGCTTGATGGCCAGAAAGGTTTTGTTGTGTAGTTGGTGGAAGTGCCAAACTCATAATTCGGAGCTTGGAAGGAAATAATTGCCTAGAAGCGGCCAGCTTTGACCAAAGGAGGGAAATGGGTTTCGTCAGAAAAAGACCAGGCTACACGCAGCGATAGTGACTCACTAGAAACTCCAAGAGCTTGGTTGGGTTGAATCCAAATTATAGCCCGCACCATGTGATTACCATCTGTACCTGTCTATAGCGCTTGCTATGGTTGAAAATTCGGCTGCAAGAGAGGCCTGTGAAAATCGTTGATTGCAATTGTTTGTCAACAGGCACAACACCGATGCAGCCTCTTGTAGAACCCAGAGAGATGATAAATCAACTGGTGGTCAGAGGAGAGTGAATTTATGTAGGGAACACTTCTCCAGCCTGCTTAATGGCAGTGAAAATGAAACACCATGTGGTGGTGAACCCGAAATCCCAATCGTGACGATAAAAAGCACGATTCGTTACCCTACTATGAAAAAGTTCGAATAGTCATCGGCCGCTTTAAAACAACAAAGCGGCGGGGCCCGATGAATTACCGCTGGAGCTATTGAAATACCGGCGGAGCTATTGTAAAATATGGTCGAGTGAAAGCATGCCCGACAAGTGGAACCTAAGTGTGCTTTGCCCAATCCACAAAAAAGGCAATCCCACAGTCTACTTCCTTAACATCGCATATAAGGTCCTATCGATCATGTTGTGTGATAAGGTTAAGCCCACCGTCAACAAACTGATTGGACCTTATCAGTGTGACTTTAGACCTGGTAAGTCAACCAGTGACCAGATATTTACTACGCGCCAAATCCGGGAACCGCACCGATAGTTCTGCTTTCTCTAACCTCGATAAGGAAGCGAAGGATATGGGTCTGGCAGTGAACCAGGACAAGACGAAATATCTGCTGTCATCAAACAAACAGACATCGATTCGGCTCCCACGTCACTGTTGACACTGTGAAATCGTAGATAACTTTATCTATGTAGGAATCAGTATTAACACCAACAACATTTTTAGGCCTGGAAATCCAAAGCAGAATCACTCTTTCCAACAGGTGCTACTTTGGACTAAGAAGCCAATTGAAAAGTAAAGTCCTCTCTTGACGAAGTGGAAGTGCCAAACTCTACAAGTTGTTTATCGTTCCCTTCCTGCAAGATGGAGCGATAAAAAAAGCTGGTGAGTCAGCGTCAGGAGTTTTCGAGTGAAGCGTCTTGCGTAACATTTACGGTCTTCTACGAGTTGGTAACGGCAAAAACCGCAGCCGATGTAATAAAGAGCTGTATGAGATATACGGCGACATTGCCATAGTTCAGCGAATAAAAGAGCAGCATCCAAGCTGGCTAGGTCATGTGGTCCGTATCAATAGGAATACTCCAGTTTTGAAAGTGTTCGTAACCGCTGGTGGAAGCAGAGGAAGAAAAAGACCTCCAATCCGTTGAAAAGACCAGGTAGAGACGGATCTGACTGTACTTGGTATTTCTAATTGGCGCCGAATGGCGGAAAGAAGAAATGAAGGGCACAATTTTGTTTACTCGGCTATAATCGCGAAAAAGGTCACTACTGCAGTAAAGAAGAAGAAGAATCATACTTCGATCCTGTGCTATTTATTTGTAAAATTTGCGCTTTGTAACCGCTGAAGCAATTTCCGGTCGAGCTCCTCCTCCAATTTGTGGTTTTGCGTCTTGATGTTTTTCCAACAAATGGAGGGACCTATAGTTTATACTTAGCCACCTCCGAACGGCTGATGGTTTTCCTTATGAGGAGCTCTGTTTCATATCAGAAAAACACTCGGAGGGGTTGAGATTCGCTGTGGAGTGGCGACCTCAATTAGAAAATTTAATTTCATATTTTATTTAAATTAATTTTTATAACTTTTGATTGTCGTGCGTGCCAGAATTTGAAGCCGGGACTTCCAAATGGCGGTACGCAATGCTAATCACTCGGCTACCGCGTCCGCCATAAAACTCTATACCGCAGGCCAGCAAGAAAAATAAACTTCAAATATCCTTATGAGTTTTTGCAAATATTATTCTATTACCATTCTGATATTTGCATGCCACACGGCCACAACCAACCAGCAGCCAGCGGCATATGTTGTATGCTTAATTGCAGTTTTTTTCATTCCTAACCCTCCGCCGCCGCTCTCAATGTCTGTTGATTACCAACCGAAGCAGCACCGCTGACAACCGAAATGAGCAAAAAGCAATTAAATGCTTGCAGTTATGCTGTTAATATCGATTCTTGTTGTTGTTGTCATTGTTGTTGTTGCTGCTGCTGCTGCTGCTGCTGCTGCTGCTGCTGCTGTTGTTGTTGTTGTTGTTGTTGTTGTTGTTGTTGTTGTTGTTGTTGTTGTTGTCGTTGTTGTTGTTGTTGTTTTTGATTTTGTTGTTGTTGTCATTGTTGTTACCATTGTTGTTGTCGTTGTTGTCGTTGTCGTTGTTGTTGTTGTTGTTGTTGTTGTTGTTGTTGTTGTTGGTATTGTTATTGTTGTTGTTGTTTTTGGTGATATTTATGTTTTTTTGCTATTGTTGTTGTTATCGTTGTGTGCTAAATGGAATGTTAATTGTTGTTGTTTCAATTATTGCCGCTGTTGTTATTGGTTTATCTGTTAGCTTATTTGGCGTGCGCTACTCCCTCTTTGCTTGCTGTTAAGCTCTCTTATGTCATGCTATGTTGTTGTGTGTTGTGCCGTGTTATGTTATGTTTTAACTTTTATTCATTTTGGCGCCAGTCAACAAATATTTCCATTGGCTAAATGGATTTTGGCAATGATATCTGTGACAACCAACAAGGCAACGACTACTAAACAGCCGCTGCAAATATAAAAACTACACTGCACTTCAAAGCGACAGCAACAACAGTAATTATAAAAAAAATAGCAAGAAGTAAATTTTGGGTCATTTGCTGCCATTTGGATAAACCAGTCGAATTTTGTTTTCTATGAAGTCACAAAATATTAAAATTGCCGCGTATTAGTTGTTGTTATCCAAACGGTGAGGATGGAGTGTGGAACGGCGTGGGTGAGGTGTTGGCCTTCGAAAATGTAGAGCAATATTTGTGGCTTGCAAAGAACACCGTAATGAAATAACAAAACAAATAATATACACGGGTTATTAACTCAACTCACTAATACCACCACAACAGTGACAGCAATAATAACCGTTATAATGAATGGAGGGCGAAATGCGCAGTTGGTTTAGTGGATGTGACTTCATTTGTTGTACACTTCGATTTCGTTTGGATTGGATTTACTCGTACTGTTTTGTTTGAGTTCATCATGCTCACTTGTACATACATATGCGTACTCATATATACGTATGATTCTTATTGAAGCATTCACTAATTATGTACGCACCATCAAGGTTGTCAAAAATATTGCACGCTAAGCCGTAATGTACGAGACTGGTCTAAAAATC